GAATACACTACAGTCTTTTTCCAAGTGGGGTCTCATTGCCAGTCTAGACTGTGAACAAATGGTTTAGTCTTATAAGGAACCGATAGGTGATATTTCCGTTCGAAACTCTTCGAACCACACTATCTCAATATAAGACATGGAGTATGTATTGCATAAATAAATAAACTGCAAACATATGTACTTTGACCGAAACATGATTGCCAGATCAAAATGGAATTGATAGAAACTGCAAAACACAGCTTTTACAGCATACCTCTAACAATGGACGTGCCAAATCGAGTGAGCAATTCTCTCTCAAAGTTAGCCCATGTAATGACTTGTTGCCGCCTACGGTAGATCCGGGAAAGCCACTGCCACCATAGTTGGCCTCTCCATCTAAGTAGAATGCTGCGTACCGTACTCGATCGTGGCTGTCGGTTTCATTCAGTTCGAAATATTGCACGATTCTGTTGAGCCAAGCCTCCGGATCACTACCCGTGAAGATGGACATTACGAACCTCGGCTTGTCGGGCTTAGGCCGCTCACGGTAGGTGGACGCTTGCGACCGCTGATCGAAATCCTCCTCGTGTTCGTAACGCTCGCGTCGCCGACCCTTCTCCTGTTCGTGTGCGCGCCGTTGCTCGCGTCGATGCTTGCGCCGTGGGGATGGTGTGCGGTCGGCATGCTCATCGTGCTGGCGTGGTTCGCGCCTTGGGGGATCGTCGCGGTGAGGTGGTTGCTGCTGGAGCGCACGCAAAACTTCCTCTAATCGCTGTTCGAGTCGTGTGACAACGGCGTTGGTATTGTTTTGACTTTCGTCAAGCGATCCAAGCCTTCCTTCCATAACCTCGCTCATACTCCGCATCTGGATGTCAATATTATCGATCTTATCCTTCACCTCCTTGTTGGCCATGGTTTTTCTTTCTTCTCTCCGCTCTTTGCTTTGTGGACTCGTGGTTGAGATGATGATGGTGATGATGAACGAAAGTTTTTTTTTTTTTTTGATAGGGGGACGAAAAACGAAAAGAAAGAGAAAGGGAATGGGGTAGAAGAAAAGCACACGATCAACACCTCTCAATGAAAGCACCAATGGTGAGGATCGTGTGTTTCGACTGTCGATAAGCCGCTAACCCGCGCCTTGAATCGCCGATAGGTTTTTTTCGAGCCACAACAGCGCCTCTTGGAATGAATAAAATTACAATAGTATTCTGGTGAAAAGACTAAAGCAAAGTTGGAAGAACAAAGTTCTAGATTTCTATTAATTTCTTGGATGATGAAAAATAACATGGGGTAAGGGCCTTTTTATAGGCACAAAATTATATCTAAGCCTAATCTACCTAGAGATCAAATAAAGCAATAAAATATTAAGTAACTAAAACAATCTAGATCTCATAATGTAAGATGGAAACAACTTGGCTTGCACTCCACTCAAACTCTCTCTCTCTTCGGCCCTTTGCAGGCGACCGCCTTACGCCCAACCTTACGCCCAACCGCCCGCGTCGCCTAGTCCTTGCGGCACTAGGGCGTGCCGCCTCAATGCGCGCGTGCAGCGGCGCCCAACGTGCGGCACACGCCATCGCTGCCTGCGCCGGCCTTTCGCGCGTGGTCAACCGTCAATCCACACTCCTCGAGGACTGCGGCATCGCGCCCCGCACGTCCTTCCCCATCGGCCGTGTTGCGCACGCCTTTGGCCCCGGCTGTTTCTCCGCGCGCGTGCTGCCCTGTCTTTCTGCATGCCTCGAGGCATGAGGCCTCGTCCGCTGCGCGTGCCTCCCCCGCGCCCGACCTTTCCGCGCGCGCGCCCGTCAACCCCGCGCTACGCACGTCCTGCCCACCTACGCTACGCACGCCATCTGCGCACACCGCCCGTACATCCACGCGCTGATCATTTTCGCTCGCCCCGCGTGCATTACGCTCGAGTGCGCGTACTTCGGCCGTCCCTCGGGCTTGCCTCTTGCGTGCATAATATGCCGGGCTCGCAGTGTTCTTGAGCTGCCTAGCCACTTCCGCATCACAGCGCCCGTGCGCATCCCAACCGCACCCAGCCGTGCACGACCGTGCCAACGAGCAGCCCGGGGCCCGACCCAAGCTTTTCTTATAATTTTTCCCGAACCCTTATGTGTGCCTTTGACCTGTTTGACTTCGTTTAGTGTTCTAGGACTATATGTGTCATTAATATGCTTTTTGGTTAAGTCTAGATGTAGGACCCAAGTGTTCCAATATCCACGGAACTTCACGAACTACTTGGTTGAACCAAGACCAATGTATGCTTGTGATTGTTCTCTAAGGTCAAGTAGATGTTGATCTTAGTATTAAATTATTGTAGGTGTCTGACGAGCCGTGCTCGCTGCCTACTCTCGTTGTGTGCCATATTCCTTTGCTGTACCAGGTGGGTTTTAATCTAAAATTTGCTACGCCTTATGTGTTTATTATAAGGTGGATGTGGTATGACTTTAGTATGTACGTAAACCATGTAGCCTATCGGCGTGAGCCGATTCGGCCGTCGGTGCGGTTGTCCCCGTCGATGTAATACGGTTACCTGCGAGGTAAGTCTCCGTAAGACCTAATGAAAGGTCGTGCCTTGTCGTATGGCACGTACCCCCATGAGTTAGGGTAATGAATCCCCTTTCCTTGGCTAATGAAAGATGTGTACACGTGGGTATTATGTTGTGTTGTGATTAGGAGACGTGACAGAGAAATTGTTTTATGTTCATACTCTAATCATACCCTCTCTTCATTATTATATTGTGATATATGTGCATAGTGGTGAGCACGCTTTTCATCTTGTGCTCATCCCCACCTGCTCTTCACCGATGCAGGTTAAGCAGGAGCTGGGTGACGAGAAGAGGCGAGTGGGTCGGTCAAATTTTATTTATTGCTTCCGTATGAATAAGGCTTTATGAACCCTTTTTGTTGAGACTTGATTATGTTATTTCCCAGAACTTATGACTTGCTTGTTTTGGAAATTTGTGGAACCTGGATTGTTGAGTATGATGGATTGATTATATATTCATGTTGAGAATTAAGTCTCGTGATATGTTTCGGTTAATGAAAACCGTTTGTGAAAACCGGGTAATGAATCCCCGTGAGCCCAGATAAGACTTGGGTTATGAAAAATATTGTTTAACACCCATTGAATTTTTGAAAATGATTTTGAAAATTTTACACTGATTTTTGGAAAGTCCGGAATTTCTTTAAAAATCAAAGTGGGGTGTTACAGTTTGGTATCAGTGCCAGTCTGCGTTTCTGTAGACTGGTTTAAGATGTGACTATGTGCTTAGACCTTGTGTTATGACCACTCGTCTCCGTCACTCCGCGCTGCTTAAGGTATGTTTTGCTTGAAGTATTAATGAAAATACTTGTTATGTAATTGATGCACTTGTAGTAATGAAACTACTCGTGATGAACTTGTGATTTAGGGCTTAGGATCTATCCATCTTGATTTAATCGAACTCTAGTGTTTATTTGGCGAACTCTAGACTTCAGCAAGTATTGATTATTTTGTTTGTTCTTGTGCTAAACCTTGTTCGACTTATTCATGTAGAAGTATGAATACTCGCAACAACAACCGTAATCGTCAACCATCCCCGCAGCCTTCTCCGCCTCGACAACACCAGGCCCCTCCGGCCATGGACCTTACTCAGCTTATCATTCAGTTTCAGAGGATGAATGCACCAACCTTTGCGGGCACTGAGAACCCCACAACGGTGCTTGAGTGGATCAAAGAGATGGACAAGATCTTTGTTGTACTTCCCCTCCCGGACTGTCAGCGAGTGTCTCTTGCAGCATATCGGATGAAGGAGGACGCTTCCGACTGGTGGATTGACCACTGGGCCCGGAAGCCGGAGGCAGAGCTTCAGGCTCTCTCTTGAGAGCAATTGAAGATGATTGTGCGTAGCAAGTTTCTCCCCCAAAGCTTTTGGGACAAACTGGAGCATGAATTCTACCACTTACAGCAGGGCAGTTCCACGGTGGATGAGTATGTCCGCACCTTCACCCGCATGTGCCTTTTTGCGGGCGACGCCGTGAACACTGATGCCAAGAAGGCCCGCAAGTTTCTTAAGGGGCTCAACCAGAGGATCCGTGAGCTGGTGGGAAGTCACGGACAGATGTCTTATGCAGATACCGTGAGCAGGGCTCAGGAGGTCGAGAGCTGTCTCATTCCGTTGGCTCCAGTTCCTTCTTATTATCATGCCTCCCAGCCATCCCAGGCCGTTGCCCAGTACGCTCAGCCCATCTCATCTGTACCACCCGGCTCTAGTTCGGGTAAGAGGAAGTCCGACTTCCAGCACAAGAAGAAAGGAAAGAGGGGAAACTTCGATAGACGCGACAACCGATCCTCTACCGGCCAAGCCTGCCAGGAATGCGGTAGATCCCACAGCGGTGAGTGCCTAGCTAACCAGCGCACGTGTTTCAACTGCAACCGCCGGGACACTATGCCAATGTTTGCCGTGAGCCAAAGAGGCAGCAGCAGCAGCAGCAGCAGCCGCCCTACCCTCAGCAGCAGCAGCTTCCCCCACCACCGCCTTATCAGCAGCAGCAGCCCCCACTGTTTCAACAGAGGGCTGGGGTCAGGCCCGTGTCTACACCATCACCCATGATGAGGCCGCTCGCAATGCAGGTACCATGTCCGGAATGCTTTCGATATCCCATGTATCTGTCTTTGCTTTATGTGATACCGGTGCTACCCATTCCTTTATTTCTTCTCGTTGCCTGGAAGCTTTATCTATTAGCACCGTGCATGCTTGTGATCCTCTCGAGGTTATTCTAGCCTCGGGAAAAATTATTATCTCTGATTCAGTGATTCGCAATCTTTCCATCTGCATTGGCGGTCGAGTGCTGGAGGCCGACGTTTATGTTATTGATATGCGAGACTTCGACGTGATCTTGGGCATGGACTGGCTCACCCGTTACCGAGCCGATATCCGGTGCCAGGAGCGCGAAGTCACCCTTTATCCCGTTTCCGATCAGCCTGTGGTGTTCTTTGGGGTGAGTTCGAGGACTGTACCTTAGGTCATCTCTTCTATGCAACCTAGGAAGAGCCGTTCCAAGGGTAGCTGTCAAGGCTATCTTGTTTCCATGGTATCCGACATTGTTGATAAGCGGGTACCCGAGCGAGTATCTATTGTATGTGAATACCTCGATGTCTTCCCTGATGATTTACCCGGAGGATCGCCAGACCGCCAGGTGGAGTTCACTATTGACCTAATTCCCGGAGCCGGCCCGGTTTCTAAGGCCCCTTATCGTATGGCGCCGAAGGAGCTTCAAGAGCTCAAGGCCCAGATCCAGGAGTTGCTTAAGCTCGGTTTCATTCGTCCGAGTGTTTCGCCGTGGGGTGCGCCCGTCCTATTCGTGAAGAAGAAAGACGAATCTATGTGCATGTGCATTGACTATCGGGAGTTGAATGCCCTTACAGTCAAGAACAAGTACCCCCTTCCCCGTATCGAGGAGCTTTTCGACCAGCTGAGAGGAGCCAGCGTCTTCTCAAAGATTGATTTGCGATCTGGCTATCATCAGTTGAAGATCCGGGAGTCGGATATCTCCAAGACTGCTTTCCGTACCCGATATGGCCACTATGAGTTCGTAGTCATGCCTTTCGAACTCAGTAATGCCCCAGCCGTTTTCATGGACCTTATGAATAGGGTCTTTCATACTTTTCTTGACCAGTTCTTCATTGTGTTCATCGACGACATTCTGGTCTACTCCCGAGATATCGATCAGCACAAGGAGCATCTGAGGATTGTGCTGGAGACTCTTCGCCGCGAGAAGTTGTATGCTAAGTTCTCGAAGTGCGAGTTCTGGCTAAACTGTGTGGCATTCCTTGGCCACATTGTGACAGCTAGAGGCATTGAGGTGGATCCCAGC